AAAGAGACTCAAAATACAGTTAAAAAGAAAACAAATCCCAAACATACCAAAAAAACACAACTGAAAAGCTCGACAACACGAGTCAGTCCACCTAGCGAACATCCAGTGAGGTAGATCTACGCTTCCGATACAAACTTCGTCACGTCTTTGTGCTGTTAGAAAAAACCCTCCTCTCTGTCCAGCACTGGGCTACAGAGGCATTTTATCCCTGAGATTGCTCGAATACCTGAGAATAAGTTGCAGGATTATGTCCTTTCTCTCTTTTTTTTTTCTTTTCTTAAAGATTAAAATATACAAAAATAGAAAACCAGAATATTTATATTAAAAAAAAAAAACAAAGCAAAAACAAAACCAACCCAAAACAAAGACGACAAACAAACCCAAAGATACGTCATTCACGCACGTCCTAGTGCAGGTTTCACTTGGCGTTGGCTTCGGCATGGAATGGGGGGGCTGCCCTGGGAGAAGGGCTGTCCACCGGGGCCAATAAATAAAGGCAAGACTTGGGGGGGCCAGTGGGGTGGGAGGACAGCAGCCACTAATGACCTGGGCACCCTTTTCCCTCTGCGTGGGGCGGCTCAGCCCAGGAGCCATCGGTTTCTGGAGTGTGGGATGGGCAGAAGGAGCAGAGGCGCATTTTTGTCCCGCTTGAGTTTGATCCAGAGCCCATGGGAAGACCCAGGCAGTCTGGTGTCTGGATCAAGGCACGGTTGGATCTGTGTGAGCCCCGGGTGGGTCGTGTACATGGCCTCCAAGGGAAACGCTGCCAGCAACATCCCCGGGAGCCAGCTCTGCTCCGTGTCTGGTGCCCAAGGCTTAACGAAGAGTGTTTCTGCTCCATGAAGCCCTCCTGCTCCCCGGCTCCACATTTTGGAGGCAGGGAGAAGTCTTAGAGGGGAAGAGCTGGCTGCATAAAACACCTTGTGCTCTCTGGGCTGGCACTTGGGAAGGCTTAAGGGAGAGGAGAAAAAAAAAAAAAGTGGTTTTCTTTTGATCTCCCTCAAGCTGCAGCTCATAGCCCACGAGCAGGCAGCAAGCCCAGCCCCAAGAGCTACCCCATTTCCTTCCAGACTGAGCCCAAATCTGGGCTCTGCTGGTTTCAGCAATGAGGCGACCACGGAATAACTGCAAATCCTCGCACCAACCTACAAGTGAGAAGCTGTGAGGAGCAGAGGGACCCGTGGGACCGGCCCGCGGGCATCTCCCCGGCGCTCTGCAGCCAGCCTTCCCCTCCTCGGCCTCTCCCCTTGCGGCAGAGAGGGACGGGGCAGGCATAGGAGTGGGTCCCCTGCAGCTCGTCCAAGCTGTGCCGGAGCCTGTTTGAAGCTCAGGAGAACAAGGAGCCACAAGCTCCTCCCTGAGATGTTGCTTCTCTGCTCCTCCTCCCAGAGGCACTACTGCCTGGCTTCGTTTAGGAAAAGAATAAAAGTTAATCAAATACGGGCTTTTTTTTTTAGCTGGAAGAGGTGTGTGGGGCGCCGCAGCCTCCTGTTTTTGGAACAAACCATCCCAATTAAAGCAGGCCCTTCCCCGGGCTGGGAACAGGGGGAAAAGGTCTGTGCAGGGACACCGGGTCCCCACCGTTAGCACTGCCGTCTTCCCTCCCCAGTCCTTCACCCTGCCCTCCCTCCTCCGAGCCCCCGCGGCTGCCCGTTGCCTTGCCAAAGCCTTTTCATCCCGGTGGAAGCCCCCCCTCCCCGCCACCCGCCATCATTCCCGGGTTTCGGGGAGGAGGGCTGAGCTGTGCATGTCCTCCTCCTCTCGGAAGTAGGCAGGTTTTCCCTGGGAGCTGGGGGACTGCTGTGCTTTCGCAGGGCAGTTGGCGACCATGTGGCTGATGCTCTGGCAGAAGTGGCATTTCTTGGGCTGTGGCGGCAGGTTGCACTCTTTGGCATGGGGGTCCAGCCCCCCCACGGTTGAGAACCGCGGGGGGGG